TTCTTACACTTTTATCGAAAAGTATTCGGGGACTACATGTAGAGTTATTCTGACACTGTTAAGAGGTACTTTATTTATTCCCAACGTGCCGCAGGTGACAAGTGTCATACCAGTTATTCAAATTTTATTTGTGCTGTTAATATTTATGAGCGCATCCATCGTAAAACAGCTGTTTTTAAAAATTGAGATTTCAGCACTGGTATTTGCGTAAAATCCTGTCTTTTTGCCCTCAGTTGAGGACTGTTTAAAAGTTTTAAGGGTTGTTTGCATCGTGCACTTAATATTCTTATTTTTACTATGCTGGTGGATTCTTCTCCATATTTATTTTTAGGGCTTTGGGTCAGCAATGCTTCCTCAAGATATTGATTGTTTTTATGTAGACCCATTACGTAAGTAACTGGCACACGTGACACTCTCTTTGTGTTGTGTAAATGAGCTGCGTTACCTGCGTTTGCGTTGTTGGTAATGCGTGGGTCAGCGTGTTTTTTTCTTAGTGACCCCTGCCCATCCCTGCTCGCATTACTTCTTTTCTGGGTGCACGTGTCACTTCTTTCTCTACTCTGCTGTGTTTTCTTGAGCATAAGAGGGGTACAATCCATCCTGTAGGTTCAAGATCTCCGTACGGTGGTCTTCCATTTTACTTTAAGGATAATTATTTATTTAAAATGGAGGTTCTCTCTTTCAATAATAAAATTTTTAATGTTGTAGCCTCTGTTGTTCTATTTGCTTCTATTTTTGTTGTAATTACTTTATTTATTTTTGCCCAACTTATTGTTGTCTCCATTATAACCTTGGCAGTTTTGGTTATTCGAACCATCATTATAATAATCATAATTATTTTGGCCAAATTTATCGTCACTCCCATTGTAACCTTAGATGTTTTAACTATTGCTATCATTGTTACAATGATTACCGTTAATTTTTTTAAAGCTGTTAATAGGTTGGTGATCGTTGTTATTCCATGCATGGTAGTTTCCGTAAAATTTCTGTTTATTGTAAAAATTTTTTTCTCTTTGATGATTATTGTGTTGGTCCTATGAATTGCTTTAAGCTATATTCTCTTTGATTTCTCACCATTATATGGAACTTTCTTCCGTGGTGTCCCTTTTATCTGCACTACGTGCCACTTGTAGTTGAATTTTCATGACTCATTACTGCGGTTAAATTATTTTTAACATTGCTTATTGCCAATGTATCCTGTTTAAGTTTATCTTAATTTACTTTCTTTCTCGCGGTTACAGTCAGTTGAAATATTTTTCACTGCTTTGTCTCATGGTCGTACCCATTGCAGTATGAGAAGAGATCACAGTTTGCTTTGTCTAGGCACTATTCTAGTGGATTTTATATCTCTGCATGGTTCTACACGTACATACTTTTCTCCACCTCCTGTGCTTTTACTTGAGCTACCAGTATGCATGTATTATGCTATGTTAGTACATCAGAGTATAACTGTTGTCCACTTTCAGTGCAATTGCTCAGCCTAATGTTTGTTGGTTGCGACAAGTTACTTAGTAGTTGTATGGGATCCGTAGATCATAGCAAAATTGTTTTGTTAATTTTTTTTGCGTCTATTTTAGTGAAAGTTTTTGTGTGATAGAGTAAATTAGGTTGGTGTCGAATATAGTAGTTACTCAGCTGTGTATCGTTTGAACTTGTTTAGAGTATCATTTTACTGACTTTTACCTACTACATTTTTTTAATGAGATATAATTATCAGTTTCGCCAATATGGTAATAGAATAACTGATGTAGCCATAGCTATCTCTTAGTTTTGTGAAAAGTTTATCTATCAATGCAAACTGTACTAGTCAAGAATTGAGCTTGCCTGCTTGGCCTCGCAATATGCTTACAACGGTTCCTATGAAATATTTTTCATACAGTGGTTATACTGTTAATGCCACCGTTCTGGTCGTTTGTTCAAACAATGGGAGTTTTACTGGGTCAACATCAAAAATCGGTATGTTTTTTGCGAGATGTAGCTTAAGAGTCTTGTGACACGCATGTATTAGTTTAACGTTACGTATATTCTAACGGTGCTTAGAAATTGTTTTGTATATCTTTATACCTATCATTCGATTACTGTGTTTAATTTATATCTATTAATTTACGTGCCTAATTGTTATCTCTCTTTATTGCCCTTTTGTTTTGAGACAGTAATTTCTTTATTTTCTTCCATTTAATTTCTAAAAAGAATTTCCTGCCCTGCAGCATCTGTGAGGACTCCCTGACTTTCTAGATTAGGTTTTTTGTCTTACAATATTCAGTATGAGTCTTTTTATTTATTTTATTATGCACAGACTAATTTTTTTTGGATCACGTTCAAGGGTAGTTCATATTACCTTATAGTCTGTGTCGTGTAGCCCTATATCGTGTATGTCCATCCGCCTATCGTCTTGCTGTCCCCCTCCCACTAATATATCGCTCGATTCTGTAAGGATTATGATGTTGGCCCTCTGTCTTTTTTGTTCATAGTTTATCCTGATAGTTTGTATATCTTTGTGTTTAGTTCCGTAAGATACGCCTGTTATTCTATCTCTAGGGTTTGCTTGGTGCGTATGCACACTTTTAATTAATGTTATTTTTGGTGATGGTCACTAGACAGCTTTTCTATTCTTTCTTCCGAATAACTACTTATTTAAGTTATTTATTCGTTAGTTTTTTTAAAGTGTTTGTCATTTATTTATTACAAATACGGTAATGCATGCAATTATGTGTTATGAACTATATGCTAAAGGTTACTAATTTCATAAAAATATATCAGTTTATGAAAGTTATTTTTCCAGACATGTATTGCCCTCGGGGGTTACGAAAAGAGTATACAAGAACCAAACAAAAACTAGCTCACCGGATCCCCATGATAATGGTTCGTGTAATTATGATCCTGTGTACGTCTGTAAGTTGGCCTTTTAAACCTTCTGTTAGTGGAATAGCTTTTTTTTTTCGTTACTTTTCTCTTTTGTGTAGTATATTATATGCCCTGTCTGTGGCTGCTGTCTGGGTTTAGTTTACCATGCTAACTTTACGTTCCTGAAGTTAGTGATTGGCAATTGCCACTTGCAATCCAGTAGAATGGTCTGCTGGCTGAACTGTTAATTATTTCCTGTTATTGTTGAACTGGTCTCTTACCAGTGTAAAACTTTTTCTAAGATACTTTCTCTCTCTGTCTCTTGTATGTCTTGGTTCATTAATATTTTGGTCGTTGTGGTAGTTTATTTTTTCACATGAAATAAGTTATCTTTTACACATGACACAAAATGTTTATAAATTTATTCGTATTTTTTTCTGGTACAAGCTGTTACCTAGGCTTCTCGAAGCGTTAATAAATGAAAGTGCGGCTAGTAATTAAGTTACTTTGTTACTTTGTTAGTCTCACGGGACTGGACCTGTCACTCTCATGTCTTTAGCTAGTTTAAGATTTTGTATTTGATTTTACAGATACATCAGATGACCTATAAATCAATATACTAAATTTAAAGGCTAACCAGATAATGCTTAATTATTTCTTTATATTTATTCTTCATCATTTCATTCGGTATCTGTGATATGAACATTCCTGTAAGATTTACTGTACATATAATTAAAATGGTTTATAATAGCTTTGTTCAAACATATTAAAAAATTTAGTACTCCAAATAGTAGTTTGTAGTTTAGTTTAAGTTTGCATTGAGATGAATTATTTTTTGCGTTCAGAATAGAGCTATTTCCTAATCAAATTAAAAATAACATGTAATGCAATTTTCTTGAAGTAAGTACTAATTTGAATTATGCGAATAACCGAAAATTTTGTAAATATTACTGACTTAACTTTAGAGGTCGTCGTGTCTTTTTAATATATTGTAATAAAGATAGGAGGTCTGTCGCATATATTGCTTTATTATAAATGTCTAGAATCATTAACTTCTCGCTCGTTTTTCTGGCATGTGCAGTCCATTTAAGACGGTAGTATTTCCTTACAGGACCTGAAAGGCCGCCACCAGAAGACTGTGGGGGAGATGTTAGTGTTGGGGACATCTCAGTCAGTTCGTATAATTAGACGGCCTCCAAAAAAGGGAGGTAGAAACGATGGCGCTACCGAGGATCGGAGCATATTAAAAATAGCAAGAACAATGACGATGACGACGAACTGTGGAGGGAAGTCGTAAACAAAAGAGAGCAGGCACTTGCGAATTACAAGGAGCAAGTGGCTACTAGAAAAAAGACGGTAGATAGCACTCCGACTTCAAACAAAGGTCAGCCAGGAAAGGAAATAAAGAAGCGGAGAAAGGCAAATAAAAGAAACGAGGCCATCCTTGTGAAACCAGCAGAAGGAAAGTCAAACGTGAAAGTGTTCGAAGCATTCCGTCACGCGATCAACAAGAGAGACTGCGGCAAAAAAGTTACTAGAATATGCAGCACAAAGGCTGATTGTTTTCTGGTGGAGCTCACCAAAAGCCCCAAAGACAAGGAGAAGCTGACGCAAGCCATATCACTGGCTATCGGTACCACAGGAAGGGTACAATCAAGGAAACCTAGAGTTACCTTGGAGGTACTAGACTTGGAGGCAGTCGCCGATAAAGAGAAAGTTTTAACAGCCATCCAAGAAGCTGATAAAACTGGAGAAGACCCAGGCAAAATTGTGGCTATGCTACCGACAAACCGATGGCAGAAAAGAATGGCACTGGCCGAAATGGACGAGGCTGGTGCTGTGTCCTTTCTGAAAAAAGGATTGATAGCAGTGGGTTGGATCCAGTGCCAACTGAGGCGCAGAATTATCGTCTAGTGATGCTACAGATACCTGAAATTTGGGCACACAAGATACGACTGTAGAGGCCCGGACTGATCAGGCCTCTGCTAAAGATGCGGTAAAGGCAATCACAGAGCTAAGGACTGCAAGGCCAATCCACGATGTGTCCTATGCAGTGAATCCGCGCATAGAGGAGAGAACACTAATCAAGTGCCGGGATCTGGAGCGTGCAGGGCCTTAAGACAGGTCCTGGACAAAAGAAAAAGAAGTTCGACATAATGCCCAGAGTTATCCAAGGTAATATGAACGAGGCAATTGACGCAAATGCCCTTTTGCCACAAATATTATGTAAAAGAAGGGTATACGTAGTGCTCATGAGCGAGCAGTACAGAAACTTTACGTTGCCTAAGTGGCTTAGCAACGCAACAAATGTATCAGCCATGTTAGTTCATAGACCACACGGAATCTGCCAAGATACAAGTGGATTGGGAAGATATTTTGTCTTATTAAAAAGTAGGGGCATCACGATTGTCAGCTACTACTTTTCACCAAACACTAGTATCAAGGAATACAGAAGAAGAATAAATCACCTCGAATATACCATCAGAGATGGCATAGATGGCGACTTATTGGTCGCAAGAGACTTTAATGCAACATCAGTAGAATGGGGAATGCCTGCAACGAACTCTAAGGGCCGGGCAGTCCTAGATATGGCAGCAAGGCTAGGGCTGGTCATTGTAAACGAAGGAAGGACCACGACTTTCAGAAGGCCGGGATTTGGCGAATCAATACCAGACATTACACTGGCTTTGGAGAGCCTTGCGCCAAGAGTGAAGAAAGTTCAGGTTATTAAGGACAATAATGGCAGCAATCACCAATATATCATCTTCGAAATCACCGATACAATAGACAGAAAAGGCATTGCACGCAAGACAGGATGGAATGTTAAGAAGCTGGACACATAACGACTAGCCAAAAAAGTGAAGAATGGCATCACTGCTATTTAAAACGATACACAAAACTTGAACACAACATAAGGAGTACAGCAGCTCACCGAGGCAACTATAAAACTCCTAAAAACCGCATGCAAGGCCTCGATGCCCAGGAAAAAAATATGGAACGGCAAACGCTCAACTGACTGGTGGAACAAAGAAATTGCAGAATTGAGGACCCAACGTCTCAAACACAGACGCCTTTATCAAAGGGCCAGAAACAGACCAGAGGCCAGACAAAGGTATTCCGAGTACCAGCTTGCAAGAAAGACGATGTGAGCTGCTATTAAGAACAGCAAAAAGCAGTGCTAACAGACTCTGTGCCAGAAAGTAAATAACGACCCCTGGGGCAGAGCATACCAGATAGTGATGAGAAAAGTGTAAAGACTTGCACCTACTGCAAACAAAGACGCGGATACCATTAGACATATCGTGGATACGCTATTCCTGACGCATTCAGAACTTGAGGATCAAGCAGACGTGGAGCTCATAGAAGATATACCTTTATCTACTTAGAAGGAGCTGAAGCTAGCAGCTGGATCGCTTAAAAAAGGAAGAGCTCCTGGAACAGATGGTATATTGGCAGAAGTCATTAAGACAGAGGTGGCAAAACACCTACATCTACTTTCAAACCTATACAATGCATGTTTGCAAAAGAGGTTGTTCCCAACCCCCTGAAAAAACGCACGGCTGGTACTGACCGATAAAGGCAAGGGAGAGCCTAACTCTCCGTTATCTTTCAGGCCGTTATGCATGCTAAAAACGCCTGAAAAGTTATACGAAAAGCTGCTTAAGATCCGTCTTCTACAGGCCATACCAAACGCAGCAGATTTATTTGACAGGCAGTACGGATGAGGAAAAGAAAGGTCTACCATAGCAGCAGTAGAAGAAGTAGTAAAAGCAGTTAAGAACACTCGAGACATATGCTATGGAGCGAGACTCCTCGTTCTTCTGTTGACCTTAGATGTGAAGAATGCTTTTAACTTAGCAAGATGGAAGGACATGCTTCAAGCTCTGAAATACACATTTAGAACACTAGACTATCTCTTGAGAGTATTAGGAGATTATCTCAAGGACCGCTTCTTGACCTATACAATAACAGAAGGCAAAACAAAGAAATGCTGTAGTGATCATCAAACGCACAATGGAACTCGTCCAGATACGATTTAACCAGATTATGCGGAGAGTAGCTCCATGGATGAAGAACCACGGACTCGAAGTTGTAGCAGGGAAGACGGGGATCGTACTATTGATGAAAAAAAAGATAGATACCATCATTCCCCTTCAAGGTACAAGAAGAGGAAGTAATGACAAAGGATGTCGTAAGATACCTAGGGGTGACGCTGGATAGAAAGCTAACGTTTTGGAGCTACCTTTGGTAAGCAGCAGATAAGGCGGTGGCTGTAGTATCGGCATTAAGCCAAATCATGCCAAACGTTAGAAGTCCAAAACCTGCAAAGCGCAGGCTCCTAATGTTTACGGCCCAGTCGTTTATTTTGTATGGGGCTGAGATATGGGAAGATGAGATAAACGTCGAAAAAAAGAGAGAAAAAATCGGCCAAGTTTAAAGAATAGAAGCCTTAAGGATAGCCTGTGCCTATCGCACTGTTTCAGAGTATGCGATAAAGGTGATAGCGAGCGTAATCCCCATCGACCTTTCTGTGAGGGAAAGACGATTGAAGCACCTTATGGAGCAAGACCTAGGAGTAATAGAGGCCAAGAAATATGCCCGGAAAATCACTTAGCAAGGCTGGCAACATAGAAGGAAAGAGGAATCTAGAGGTAGATAGACGGTACACCTGATAAAAGATGTCAAGGAATAGACAGAGTAGAAACATGGGGAAGAAGATTACTTCTTTACTTAATTTCTTTCAAATCATTGGTATTTTTGCTTGTGGAAAGATGTGGAAAACACAGACGGTTGCTTGAAAGTGCTGTGGCTACGATAAAGATGATAAAGAACATTTGTTCTTTGATTACATTAAGTAGTAAGCCAAACAAAACGTGCTGCAGGAAAGGATTGGAACCTTTAATCCTAATAACGTTGTAGATAAAATGCTACTTAACGAAAAAAGGTGGACTGCAGCAAACAAATACATACATGCAGTGTTCCAGGCCAAAAAAGAGAATGGTTTTCTGGACGAATGAGTGAAGGTGGTGTAAACGTGGATCTGGTACCATCAGGGTGAGCGTGGAGTTGTGTTTTTTGCTGTGGATTCTGGGGATTAAGGGGGAGTGTGGTGGCAAGGCCTTGGGAGTGGGGCCATTTTGGCCATTGGGCTTCAGGTGCTTTGCTTATGCTTTTTTTTTTTTTTTTTTTTGCTTGGCTTCTGGGGTGTGATCGTGGGGCGGTCAGTGTGCAGTGTAAAGGCTTGCCTAGGTTCTTGAATGCAGGCAAGCTCCTGAGAACCGCTTCGCTATATATCCGTCCTACCGATGAGCAGCTGTACCTTTGGGCCCAGGTCTCTGCCCCTTGGGCTCTGTGGTGGGTGTGCTTCTTGCGCCTTTGTTGGGGGTAGCCGGATTTGGGCTAGCAGTAGGGAGCATCTGCCTATTATTTTGCTTCATCCCTCCAAGTGAACAAAGAAGAGCAGCTCGGACGCATGACGGAAACTAGAAAATATCCTAGAGGACACAAAAGTTAGAAGATGGTAACGAAGCACTAAAGAAAGCTTTAATCAGGAGCTAAGCCTCCGTAGCCTCGGCTTGAAGTGTAAATGCGTAAGTAGATTCCGAGCCGGATGTCCCAGGAGAAGGGTTTTGCCATGTTAGTGGGTATGGTCATAACGAGTTTTACACAGGGGAGGGCTCGTACACACTTTTATCGTGCATTAACGCATTTTTAACAATCTCGGAAACAGAAAAAATAATAATAATATTACTAGTACTAATAATCCTAATTTTTTAAATTTCAAAATAACTATTACTTATTATTAGAACTAAAACACAGCATATTTATAATTAAGACTTTTCATTGGTTTTCTCTTATTGCCTATTATTATACGTAACACCAGACTTGTTGTTTTTTATTATATTTAAAAACATGCAAATAGTATATTTAAGTGCTAAATCTTATTTTTAATTCACAATCGATGGACCAAAAACAAAATCATCAAATTTAAGTCATAACCTAGCCAGACCACAAACACTTATAATTTAAGGAAGAAACAAGCGTGAGAGGTCTCGGGACCCCTGACAGAAGCGAAGCTCTCTTGCATACGTGGCTGCAAAACATTATCCGACAGCAATTTTACTAAAATCAAGTGTAGATACACACATACGCATGCATGCTAAAGCGTAGTTACGCTTGTGTGCAAACAAATGTGCACACTTACATACACTCGCAGACACACATGCACACACCCACCCACACGCACACACACACACACATAAGTGTGTGTATATATTTCCCTATACAATAAAGTTGTATCGATGAAAGTGAGTCTCAGCACCCCCAGCTTCCCCCCACTCCTCCTCAGCTCCCCCTTAATTTACGTAGTTATTTGCTTGTTTTTACATTATTTTTGAGTGAACACTATTTAAGTAAGCCATCTTCCGCTCCCCCTGCTTCCCCCCTCTCACAATAAGCTTCCTCTCCACCTCCTTGTCCACCTCCCCCCTAAAAATACTTATGTATAGAATGTCTTACCATCATAAATGTTAAGAACCCTAACAACGAGGTATGACTTTGGTACTAAATTACGTTTATTTTTTAACATATGATTAGTGACTTAAGAAGCCTAAAAATGGAGTATGACTTTGGTACTAAATTACGTATATTTCTTAGGTCACTGATCATATGTCCCTCCCTATCTATTCACAATCCCTTACTTACTATATGTCTCTGAAGTACCATTATTTGTTTAACTTGATTGAACTTTTGCATTTTAAATCTCTTTCTGGTCCATGTCCACTTTACCCAAATATAAAATTTTTGATTACCTGAGGACTTTATTATTAAAAAGACAGAATTTAGAAGGAGGTATAATTAAATAGACAAACACAATTAAGCTTTTGAAACATTAATTCATTTTGTTAGCTTAATGTTGTGACATTTCATCAGTCAATTTAACCTATCTGTTCTCTTAAAACCCTTTCCACATTTTTTATATTTGTGTTTCATGGTTTTTAGGAATTATTATACGTCTGTTTAAATGTGACGATCCTTAAAGTTACATATTTCCGAATTACTGAAAAATTTCTTGCTAAACAATTTTTTTAATTTCTGATTTATTCTCGGATTCAACCTTAATAAAAATTTTTTTTTGATTGTTACATCTTAATGAAGCAACGTATAGTTGTCCGTTAGAGAATAAAGGTTTTTTAATATACAATCCTAAGAAATCAAAACTCTGTCCTTGTGATTTGTTGATAAATGTTAAACATGCCAATACAAAGCGAAACTGTTTTCTATAGAAGACAAAAGGTAATGATGATAAGGTGCCAGTATTCAATTTTATTCAAGGAATATAAACTTTGTTTTTTTTTTCTTTACCCGTTATTATTTCTGCTTCTGTATGATACGTAAATGATTTTGTTATTTTTAATTTTTTTCCTTTACAGAGACCATCTGATTTACTTAAAATTCTTATAAGCACTACTATAGCATTTATTTTTAATTTTCATTCGTGTTGTGGAAGACCTTTTCTGATATTATTCAAAAATTCTATTGAAAAATTAATATTTATGATATCATTTATCTTATCAACTCCTTTGTGAGTCACGTGATCTGCTGTTGTGAACTAATTATCAGCCTGCATTGATAAATACACGAGTAGTGTGTTTATTTTGTCTATTCAATCTGTTAGTGGGGGATTGGCGCGTGGAGCGCGCAGGGGGGTGTTAGCCCCACTAGTATATATATACATAGATATATATCTTCCTACATTATATAGTCATAAAAGTTATAGCAAGGTTTTGCTCCTCCCGCTCCCCCNATATATAGACACACACACACAAATATGCAATTCTATCAAAACCTTTATATTTTATGTCGCAGTCAATTATGTTATTGTGTAAGGAGGTACTGATTGTGTCATACTTAAATATTTACGTTCTTACAATGCTTGGAATCCGCGTGTCTGTGTATGCACGCGTTTGACGACGCATTAGCATAGTTTATTTTAGTTTTTCTGCTACGCATTCCTTTCCATATATGTATAGACTAATTACCAGTAAAATTGAACAACAGTAGTAGTAGCTTCACAGTGTTGACATGCAAATATTTACATGTATGCACGTGATAGTTTAATTATAAATGTAAGTGTATCATCTGTATGGTATAAAGGTAAGCTTGGTGAGCTGCTCGCCAGTCAGCAGCAGCAGCAGCACTATACTGTATATGGAGATGTACAATTTACATCTGCTTTTGAAAAATTGTATCAGTTTTTAGAAAGGCCTTCTCCAAGACAAGATCTTGAACATCTTATGAAAAGCTTCGCTTCGAAAATTTTTTTAAAAATTGCAAAAAAAATTTTGATAATCATAAGCTCTTAGGTGAGGCATTAGCGTATGAGATTTCTTAATATTTGTGTGTTCCACCCTGTCATCATACCTGTTACACTGAAGAAGTCTTATTATAGAATCTTTTTCTACAAAACAATTGTCTATTTTAGATGAGAAAATGTATTTTTAAACTTTAATCCACCATTTCAAAATTATTATTACAAGATTTTAAAAACTTCAACATTTTACGTTAGCAGTGACTCTTACGTTAATTAAAAAGTCTTAAAAGTAAAAGAAATGAAAATGCATACATTTTTAGGTAAGGTTTTCATGTATGAAATTCCTTAATAATTTTTCGTGATGGCCTGTTATCACACCTATAACATTCGAAAAGTTTAAGGTAAAAACCTTTTTTTTACAAAATCTTATTTTGTTTAGAAAAATATATTTCCCATTGTTTTCCACTAACTAGTTGCTCCTATAACAACTGCAACTTCTTAGTTATAATAATTAGGGGCTGAGCTTCACCCACTGCTAATGCAAGTAGTATAGTATTCTTTGATACGTACGCTGAAGACAATTTATGCCAGTTTGAGCTTCTCAACTCGTAAAAAAGTAAATTAATAATTTTTAAAATAATTATAGTTTTTCATGGTAAGTTAATACGTCAGTAGTATGAAAAAATTTTACATTACAAAACTAACAACAAATCAATAATTAAAACTATGTGCATGGAGTTGAGGACAATTTTTCTATAATATAAATATATTCAATACAAAGAAAACTATTTAAATATTGAGATATTTTTTATACGGTGCGTGATATGTTAATGATCTCTTAGCACATGGACTGTCATTATGTTTTTCGTGTTATAGTCATTTTTTTTAGACAATCGTCAAAAAGCTTTGTAGTTATCAACAAAAGCAGATGTTTTTAAGCTATTTGCTCATGAAAGGTAGGATTTAAACATGGTTATAAAAAGTTTAATGTGTAGAAATTGCACGGCAAATAAGCATCAAAATTTAACATGGTCATACGGAGATGTCAATAACTTGTACACTAATGTTGATCGTTGTTGTAAGAAAGTTAATTTCATCAAAAACTACTTTAAGGTTAAGCAGAGTTATTAAACCGTTAATATAGTTCTTTTGTTTGATACTTTGAAATTACTGATCTTACTTACTGAATTTGGGTTATTATTAATGTAAATAATTAGTATTATTATAAGTTCTAGTCACATGAATATACTTAGATAAGAAGCACGTCGTATAAGGTCTATATAGCTTACAAAGGACATTAAACTTATTTCGTTTACTACAATCTACAAAAGTATTTAAGTTTGCAGTTATTTGAATACTGTTAACGACTCAACGAACAAACTTATTAATTTTTTTTCTGAAAATATTTAGTATGTCGTAGGCTAGAAAGTTATCTAAAAACCTTCTCATCCAATATATTGTTGCTACGTTCTATTAATTAACATGTTTGAGTATATATTTTGTAGTTAGATACTATTTTTTTTCTTATTTATAATTCAGAAAAGTGGGAGGGTCAATAGAACCATCTCAAATAAGTTTGATCATTGTCACGATATACAGACTTAGAACAATACGACCTTAACAGAGCTAGTTAAGTAGTAAAGACATTTGTTTTAACCAACATCAGAATCTCATTAAGTGAATAGTAAGGCTGCAAGCCAACATTAATAGGTAAGAAACGAAAAAAAAGAAATATGCGTGTTTTAGCTTCATTAATGCCATGAAAAAATCAGTCCATTTTTAGCTGTTACGTACCGTATCCATTAATTTTACACAGAAAAAACTTATACAATAGAATTAACTTACAAGCACTCAATACTATTACTGTTGAAATATAGTGGAAACTTTTTATTATATTTTAAATCAAAACCTGTCAGTTTTTATTACTAATACTCTTATTTTTGTTAAATTTCTTTGTTAAAAAGTGTTTTAATAAGGGCCTATCTCATAACAGCAAATATTTAAATAAGTGATTAAACAATCATTGTCAATGAATATTAAGATAATGATACATTATAATTTGTTTTTTCTGTTTTTTTTTATTTTTTTATTTCTCACGATTTAATCGTTATAAGCTAAGCAATGTGTATAGTAATTTGATAAGTACAATCTTTACCACCCTATTATATACATTCTGATTTTCAATTATTAAAGACGTTATTAGTAATATATACTCCTTATCTATCTCGTATAAAAAAAGGACATAGTTTATCTATATTATTGATAACTATTTATAGTTCAACACTAATCATAATTACTAAAGAACTTATAACGTACTATAAAATTATTTAAATATAAAAATTAATAGTAGTGTGCGCATGTAAATAATTTAAATCTGTTAAAAATGACATATTTTTTATTTTAAAACAAGGTCTCTTATCTACTGATGGAGTAACACGATGTTTTGATGATGAAGCTAATGGCCACACTCGTAGCGAGGCCATTACAGCTTTTTATCTCCAACGAAAAAAAGATGCCAAGCGCATTTACATGGAAATTGTTCATACACGGACAATACATGCAGAGAGCATTGAAGTTAACAGTCTGCTTTACCCAAAAACGGAACCACAAATAAAGCTTATGAAAGAAATACTAGATGAAAGTGGACTAACACCAGACAGCATCTCGTTCTTAGAAGCTAGTGGTATAGCAGTAAAAGATATTGATACTAAAGAGCTAAATGCCATTGGTGCTGTATACAAGAACCGCAAAAAGCCTCTTTCCATAGGATCAGTGAAGTCGATAGTTGGTAATACGGTATCTGCCAATACTTTTGTTTCAATAGTAAAGGTTCGTGTACCTACTTAAAAAACTAGAAAAAATGTACGATGCAACAGCTATAGCTAGAAGTAAATCTTCGTATTTCTTAAGTTGAATTATTTTCTACACTTTAATTAAAAACTACCTTTTAAAAAAAAAAGAATATACTTTTGTTTCTTAGACTTAACTGTAACTAATAAATTAATAACCAATAATGAATTTAAAGGCAAGGTAACAAGAGAGTATATTTACGGCTGAAGAAACTTCCCATAATTTAAATAAAACATCTTACGATAGTTGTTTAGTTATTAAAAATAAGATCCACAGGTAGTGCTGCCATTTTTTTTAATTATTAAAAAATAAAAACAATGCTTTAGCTGTTTGGACAACGTCACGGCTATCATTAGGTACAAAGAGGTATAAGTAATAAAAAATATTTTTACTATACTAATTCTAATGATATATAATAAACGCTAGTCAAGTTAAGGGTATAACATACCTCTTACTCTTCCGAAAAGAAACGTAAAATCTTACTATACTTGGAGTTCCATAATTACCTGATTTTATTCTCTGGACACAAACAAATGACATATTACACGAATACACTACAATTATTTTAGAATCGCAAGGAGTTCTTACAGAGAAGCATCATGTGTTCCTAGTACTATAAATAAATCAGGCCTACCAAATTATCTTGATCAAGTAAGTCTTCATTTCTAATCAACTCAATGAGAGACTTATAACAATTTTTTTAACTTTTTGTATACTGCTGTGTATTTATATTATTATGAAAGCAATATTTATTTAATGCTACAAATAAAAGACATTTTGTCAAAGTTTGTTGTATGTCTAAGATTCTTATATTGTCAAAATGGAAATTTTATGCAAGTTGAATGCTACGTTATGGGAACTTATATATAAAATATTAGAGAATTATCCTTCCTATTTATTATGTTCTTTTTCTGTTCCGCTATTTTAAAATATGGAGCTCTAGATGTTTAACCAATATAATAGCAGTTGCAATTTGAAAATTGTTTGTGGTAAACTGCGTTTTTCTTACCAACTGGCTCAGTTATATCCTTTCTAAGAGGAAAGATCAAACTTAACCTATAAGTTTACTGTATACAAGACAAATGCTTAGCTTTTTACAATAAAACTTAATAAAACTGTGCAAGTGAAGCTTGTACGGTCATAATAAAATGAGCTTATGTTATAATAATTTTTATTACAATTGCTTATCATATTTATGTTTGCTAACAGATTTATTATTTTATTTACAAACTTATTAATCAATTTTTAAGGATGGATGTGAGTTAGTAAAAATTTATTTACCAATTTTAAATTTTTATCTTGAAAATAAGCTTCTGCTTATTTAATACAAAAATCAACAAGTGTGTGACTGATACCTATTTAATATTGTAAAGGATGGTGGGAAAGAAAATTCGAGCTTCAACTAGAGTGTTAGAGTTGTGGTACTAGTTAGTTATTACTGTTTTATTTTGTTTAATAACAATTTCCAAATCTATAAAACTAATGCTGTTATACTTAGATCCCTCAACAGTTAATTATTATTCGGGACAATAGTAATTAAAAATGTTCTGTGTATAGTTGAAATGTAATTAAAGTACACAAATAAAAGGTGTTCCATGCAAAACGTCCCAGGCTCACCACGGGAGCGCTAACAGACACTGTTTTCAGCTCATTTTCTCGGCCTTATTCCTATCCTAAAAAAATGTTGCAAATAGCATTTTCGATGTATTTTTCAGTCAGCTTTTTGATAGTGTGGTTAGTTTTCAAAAAAAAATTTCATTTTCACTGGAAAAAAGCACAAAATATACTATGTCTCGAAAAAGGCATTTTTAACATTTTGTTTAATAGGCTAGATGAAAAGCTGAGGTTTTTTCACATCGAAGACGTCTCCGTATACAGTGTGCTCTCACTGAAAGATTTGAATAAAACAATACTAAATAGTTAACATATGGCCGTCTGAACGCGCACCGAGGCCTAGCGTGGCGCTGCACCGCGCTTAAGTTAACTATGAATATTATTAATCTAGAAATATTTTCTAAACAAACATTTTTTATTATTTTTAAGTTATAGATGAAGTTCGAGATGTAGACTTTTTTGTTTTTTCATTTTGTTTTTAAAAAAGTTGATACTTCGAGCTTATAGATGCTTTTTTTAATTTCAATGTTTTATCATCGATTGGAATGACAGCATGGAATTGCAAATCACCTGGTATTAAATTTTCTAAATCACCTCGAGTTTTGAATTTAATTCCACATTCTTTATACAACTCTTTATTTAAATAAAAAACTTTGCCCAGTCATACAAGTTTTCTGCTGTTAAAATTTGGTTATTAGAGAAAACTTGAAGACTTGTACGTCTTACACCTCTCTTCCAGTTGGCTGCAATACCGTCATACGCTTCCTTTCCGTGAGCAGTAGCAAAAAATGCCATTCACAATTCACTTTTTGGCAAACACGCCATCTACAGCAAGTTCGATGAATTAAAATATGCAAGGCAATTATAATGAATTTAGAACTAAAATACGCTTTATGTTTCGACGGTTTTTTAAATTTTACCTAAATATAATATAAAACATTGAAGATTTTATTTTAATCAAACAGTACTTTAGTAAGGTATAACGTATAAGCATAGTTCATTGTTAAATACATAATTAAATTTTACAAAGCTAATGATATTCGTTAACTTAAGCGAAGCACGGCACGGCAGTGGCCTTTGGCGTGCTCAGACGGCTGAACGTCTACTTTTTGGTATTGTTTTACTAAAATTTTTCAGTGAGAGCACACTGTACGAAACAACGTTTTTAATGTAAAACCTCAGCTTTCCATCTAGCCTATCAAACAAAACATTTCGAAATATAGCATATTTTGTGTTTTTTTTCAGTGAAAATGAAATTTTTTTTGGAAAATGAACTATACTATCGGAAAGCTGATTGAAAAATACATTGAAAATGCTATTTGCCACATTTTTTTAGGATAGTAATAAGGCTGAAAAAATGAGCCACAAAGAGTGACTTTTAGCACTCGTGTGGCGGGCCTGGGACGTTTCGCGTAAAACGATAAAATATTATCCAGATAGCGTAAAATAGAGTAAGGCATTTAAACACAATTTTTTTAAGGATAAGGTTTTAAGTAAATGCATAAAAAGGTCTCACAGTAGCTGACTTCGTGAACTGCCCTCTGCTGAGACAAAAACTTGTTCATAGTACTTGTCGTTAAATGAAAAAAAGAATTTAATTTTAAATTATAGAAATTTTTGGGCTAACTTTATTAAAAAAAATTAATTCTATGGTTCCAGAGTTGTGAAAATGATAAACTGCGTGGATAAGTATGGTTTAACTATGGTTAGGAAATAAGGCAACTACAGACTAATGAAAGTTTACTAAGGAGGATAAGAAAATGTTTCAATTTATTATGATCTTGCTAGCGGTACATAATAATAATACCTAAACAATTAGGAAGAAACTTAGAAAAACTCTGAATGTATAAATTTAATGCCAAGATAATAATACAAATAAAAAAGTCTTATCATTCATTTTCATCAATCCGTAGCAGGGAGATGAGTCTCTTTGATTAATACCGTTATTAAATTTATTAAGTCCCTTAAAATACCATTTTCATTTCACTTGCTTACGAAACTTTTAGTATCTTTACTTAATTAATTTAGAGAATTCTTTTTTACTTGTCCGTTATATTTATCATTACTTAACAGTTTTTCTACTTAATTGCTGAAAATTTATCCGTCAATGACAACGGTGGTATTACCTTTGTGTGCTGGAGTTCTTTCAGTATGCTGATTATTTTTTAAAAAGGCTCGTGTACGCTTTTAAGTGCCTTGGAGAACTCTATCATTTACAGAAAAATAAGTAGGAACATTATGGCTATTGTAGCTTACAATTTGTAATATTGTTGTTCCAACTGTTTTAAATTCCCTAGAATATTTAAGTAAATGTTTAATATTCTTTAAAGTATGAAAAAGGTAACAAATATTCATTTTCGCAAAAAAAATTAGATTCATCACTTAACTATCATATACTCGTGACGCAATCTGGCAGAGATGTATCTGAAAGGTAACATAGCTAACTCTCGTTTATTTTATTAATGCCTTTGACGTTGACAAATTCAGGCCATTGAACAAGGTCAGACTCACTGCCACTCATAGCTGAAAGTGTCATTTATACACCTTTGAGCTTGAATTGATCTTATGAAGGAGGGCATTACTTACTATATAAATTATTACGATATTCGTGACAAATGCAATTTAACTTTGTATTGTAATAATCAATAAGTCAATTTATTTTATAAGATTTGCAGCCATGATTTATTATTTAATTTGCAATTATTTTAGTTTTTCACTCCAAAAATTTGCTTTTGGAAAAATGCTGTAAGTTCTAAGTTTAGTTAGCAATTAACAGTTTAATCTATTGATCTTGAATTTTTTTAACACACTAAGGCTTATAAAAAATAGAATTTACTTTTTTATTAAAATATGCACGTATGAAGTCAAGCACGTATAAAAATATTTAAACTTTATCCAGGTACGAACAATTAGCAATTGCACTTTGGTATTCTCCATAACAGAGCAGTTATATCTAGTTGTACAGGACGTGCAGCTTTCACAAGCTGTACTAGAATACTAGATTGAAATTGCTAACCACTCCTACAATAAAGAAATTTTAATCTGTTTTCAGGGTGCTTGACTTGATCTGTGTACGTAAAAAGAAATCCACGCAAGTATGGGATGTGCGCTGTTTATACTTTGACAAAAAGAGATACGTTATGCATAATAAAAATAAATGCATGCAACAACAACGTACAGTTCATGAATATAATGCGTCAAATGTGATAATACTATTACAGTATCGTATGTAAGCTTAGACAGCATGACACGCACAGGCGTAGCATGTAGAGCCAACGCGCAAATTGTATTGTGTGTCATTACGCTGCTTTAAGGTAATAGCAATGGAATATTTGCGTGTGCAGCACATATTGATAAATATTGTA